CTTGACTTCACTATCCAGGATGTCTGGCTCAAGGTCAGCAACCACACAATCTGGGTTGCCTGGGACATCCAGATCTTTCTGGTATAATTCCTCTGTGTATTCTTGCCACCTGTTCTTGATATTGTCTGCTTCTCTTAGGTCCTGACCATTTTTGTCCTTTATCATGTCCATCTTTGCACCCCCCAAAAATTATACTAGGGCTTATTTTCAGGTTAGGTCTTATTTTTGGAGAAACAGGGTATGTGCTGCATTCAGGATCAGAAGCAAAATTTCTGAGCACTGTTTTCTGATCTTAGGCATGTATGATTTCTTTAGCCTTAGCACTTCTTTATTGGTCATCTTCTCAAGAATAAATGTGTTGGTCTTTGAGATGCCAGGAAAATCTTTGTTAATGATGTTTGTCACTATGTCTTATTATAAATATTAGCAGATTGCTCAGTTTTAGTGAATAATGTATGAAAAATATTGATAGGTCTGTTATAATGTGGTTTTTTCCCTTATTTACTATTCTGGGGATATGTTGTGACTGAATTGTTTTCGAAATGCATTTTCTTATATTTTGCATATTTGTGCCTTCTCATAAGGTTATGTTGATTTCTTGGGCACAAATAATAATGGATGGGTACTATGTGAATACAATGACACTGATTATGACAAATAGGTGTTAGTATTATAAGGAGGAAGGGAGAGAGATAGGGGTAGGGAAGGCCTAAGTTCTTTTGCTGCCTGAGCCCAAGGCAAATCCTGTCATCACACAATTGGCAGCCATTACTTAATGACATCACAGTGAAGCTGTTTCTAAGTCTAAGGCCCCACCATGCTTTCATGAGATTTTGCCCAGGTGACAGTAAAGTCTTGTGAGATCTGTAAAAACACATCTTTCAAGATCAGGCCAAACGGGACTTGAAGGAGACCTTTCCATATGCAAGTTCAGTCTGTGGGTGACCGCGGAGGACTGACTGATCTGGTTCTCCTGTTCCTGGCAAGCCTTGGAAGATCCTGGTGGCAACTGAGTGCCAAACTGGGTAGCTGCTCCCACCCACTTTGCATTCAGGCTGAAGCCCAGTGCCTCCTGCACATCACAACCTGGTAAGCAAGGTGCCAGGTGGGCACTGGCTATGCTGGCTGGAGCATCTTTGAAGTTGTAGCCCAAAAAATTATTAACGTCTCTAAACTCTGATAGTGGGTGGCATTTGAATGTCATTCTGCACTTTTAGAGGCCACAGCAGCACTAGTTGGGTGGCTCTGGTTGGCAGCCCCAGGGTGCTTGTTCTGCGCCACTCTCAGTCTGCCATCGGAGACTGGTGGCTTTGTGTGACTCTTGATGGAACTGGCCGGGAGAGGCAGGCTTAATAAAAATCTCTAAACCCCTCCGGAGTGTTCCCTATGTGTAAAAAAAATAAATTCCATCCTCTTTTAGAAACAGTAGCTAAGAAGCTGCCCCCACCAACACGATTCAAGCTTTGCTAGTAATGCAAACAGCCTGATCTTGACTATAATTACTAACGAATAAGTCAGGATGAGGTTGGCATGGCTGGATTCCAAATCAATGTGCTTACAACTGTTGTCCTCATTTGACCAAACTTGTTTGCTTCTTTCTGGAAGTGCATTCATCAGTTTCCCTTTGCTTGTCTTCCCTGCCTCATTATGTCTTTTCAGTCCACATGATTACAACCAAATTAACAGATGAAGATGAGGTGGGGAGGAAGGACTCGTGTTGGCTCTGAGCCTTGGTTAGCAGGATGGCCGATGAATACAACAGGCCTAATACAGGCGGGATGCAGGGGTCATGCTAGCTAGCTATTTCCTGGCAAACTGCAGTCATTAAAACAGGTGGTTGAAAATGTGTGATGTCACCTTTCTCTTCTGTAACTTTGATCTCATAATCTCTCTGGTTCAGCTCTACAAGTAGGTCTTACTCCTGTTGCGCATTAGTGTCAAGGCTGAGGTGCTTCTTGGGTTGAAAAGCACCTCACCGAGCATTTCAGTGACCAAATGCTATCCCTGCTTGGTGCTAGAGACAATAGTACAATAAATCTTGCCCTCATCTA